GCTCAAAAAGGTTGCCTACCCCTGGGCTAAAGCCTCCCTCTCCTTTTGGGGGTCAGCGTAGGGTTGTGATGTTTGGGAGAGGGTCATTGTATAAAAATCTCTGTCTCTGATCCAACAGTTTCCCATTACTCTTTTGTGAAGTACACAGTGACATCTCTAAAGATCACCTGCAATAGAAAATAGCCCTCATCCAGGAAGTTACTAAGCAAAAGAGGTGGAAATCACATGGTGCATCCCAAATATTATTTAATCAGAATACTGATAGAGTAGGACATTTTTGAATATTCTCCCTTTTCTTTAACTCCTTAGATCTTAAAGAATAAGGCATCAGGGAAATGACGAGGAGACAATATGGGTCTTTGATGGCCTAGATTTCTCGTATAAAAGGAAACTTCATTTTCCACATGGAAACTCTTCCATGTAGGTTTTCCCAATCTGCATTATTAACTGGCATAGATCTAAGACAGCGTCACCCAATAAGCACTTTTCCCCCCAGCTTCTATAGTCAAGTTCTTTTAGTACATAAGACAAACACCAACACAGCAGCCTCTACCTATCCTTGACAATATAAATAAAAACCCCACAAATGAAATAATTAGGAATTGATGCCTTTCATGATGGCTCAAAACCAGGAGTCAGGAGCCTCTCTCCAACAAAATGGTGGACCAACCCTGCCCAAAGCCATGGCTTTAATGTTAATGCAGGAATAGACCAAGTATGCCTGATGGGCCTGCATTGGCAGGAAGGCCAATCCCACCACCCCTGGCCCTGACTAGCTGGGTAGGGAAATAAGGGCAAGATGGCAAATGCTCTGGTCAAATGAGCCACTGCAAGACATAGGATGACCTCTGTTGACTCATTGTGTCCTAGACTGAAAAACTCCTGATGCCTCCATCACAAAGGAGGAGGGAGTGAACAAGGCCAGGGGACCTTATCTCTGACTGGGGCATGGTCTGCACTTCCCTGCCTAGTGACTTAAGACACCACCAGGGCTCTAGCGCTGATTGGCTCCCTGGTGCAAGGGGGTGGTGCTTTGGCTGTGGCTGTAAAAGGGGCTTCTTTCCCGAGGTGCTGAGGGGAGGACGACTGTCCCATAGGCCAGGGCCTTCTGGCCTTGGCGGGGATAATGGCTGTGGTACTGGTGGCCCTGGGGACTGGGAGGCTCTGGGAAGGGAGGGGACTCCCTGTAAGGAATTTTATTATGGGGGAGGAGGAAGGGGCTTTGGTAAAAGTCTCCTCTGGGGGCATTAGCTACTCCTAATTTGTTGTCATCTGCAAATTTGATAAAGCATGCTCACTATTCTTTCATCCAAATCACCGATAGATGCTGAATAGCACTGGGCCCAGGACAGAAACCTGTGGCACCCCACTGGTCACTTCTCTCCAAGATAAAGGGGGGCCACTGCTGAGCACCCTTTGGGTTTGGCCAGTCAATCCACCTAACAGTTGCATTGTCTAGCCCACATTTTACTAGTTTGTTTTCCAGAACATTGTTGAGGACCTTGTCAAAGGCCTTACTGAAATCAAGATATTCTACATCCACAGCATTCCTTCCATCTACCAAGCTGGTAATTTGATTTTTTTTTTAAAGGGATCAGATTAGTCTGGCAAGACTTGTTTCTGAGAAACCCATGTTAACCGTTAGTGATTATGGCATTCCTTTCTGAATACTTACAAACTCTCTGTTTAATGAACTGCTATAGAACCTGCCTGGTATTGATGTCATACTAACTGGGTGGTGATTGTTGGGGCTTAGCCCACCTGCTTTGCTTGGGGCTTAACTTATGAGGGCTCTGTAGGGCTTCTAGATTTTGGTGGCCTGTCCACACCTCAGAAAGGTAGGGTGCCCCCTCTAGGAACTGCCTCCAGTTCTGTAAAGCCTATTTGATGGCAAATGCCTCTCTGTCCCAGATAGGCCAATCTAATTCTGCTCCCTGAAATTTTTTTGACAGGTATGCACACAGTCTCAGCACCCCTTCAGAGTTTCTCTGCATAAGCACTGCTTCCAAAGCAAAATCATTTGCGTCAACCTGTACGACGAAGGGCTGATCAGTATGATTTAATGATTGCTTAGGCAAAAGGCGGGATATAAGAAATAAATTATTATTATTACTATTATTATTATTAAATTTAGTTCAGTGCTAAACAGCTGTTTCGGTTTGTCAAAATCTGCTTGGCACTGCACAGTATTTTGGCAGATGGCTTTGGGCTTTTCTACTGATCACTCTTTGGGTTTTCCTTTTGGACCCAATTTGGTTTTTAACAAATCTGTGATTGGCAGGGCTATTTGGGCAAAGTTGGGGATGAATTGGTGGTAGAAATTTACAAATCCCATAAAGCTCTGCACCTGTTTCCAGGTCTTACGGGGAGCCCAATTAAACACCATCTGGACCTTGCCAGGGTCCATTTCAATCCCCTGGGCAGACACCCTGTACCCCAGAAAGTCTCATTGGTCAGTGTGGAAATGGGACTTAAAGCTGGTTGTCTTTGGGTTTGGCCAGTCAATCTTGTATCAGCTTTATATGGAGCTCCAAGTCCTGAAAGTAAATGAGCACATCATCCAAGTAAATTAGAATTCCCTCAAACAAAAGATCATGGAGGACCTCACTGACCACCTCATAAAAACACCTGGGGCCCCTGCTAGCCCAAAAGGCATAACAAGGTACTCAAAAGCTCCCAGGGGACAATTAAACACCATCATGTATTTGTCACCTTCAACACGGAAATATGCATCCCACAAGTCTGGCTTGGAAAACACCTTACCAGTGGCTAAATGGCCCAACATGCCCTTCATAAGCTGAAGGGGGTACTTGTTTGTATTGCATATCCCATTTAAATTCCAATAATCCATCACCAAACAGAGCGATCCATCTTTTTCTCTCTGAAAAATACTGGGGCAGCAAATGTGGATGTTGAAGGGTGAATAAACTCTTGAGCCGAGTTTTTCTCAACAAATTCTTTTAAATTCCTCAGCTCTAGGAGGTCATGAAGTAGAGCTTGGGTTAATAATAATAATAATAATAGTAATAATAATAATAATAATAATAAATT